CGGCCCGGGGTATTGAGGAGTAGGAGATCGTACTGTGGAGATAGTTCGCAATGGCTGTCCTGAATCCAGTCCAGGAGTGCCATTTACCATACCGCTATACATAAGAACCTTGACATGAATCTGGGTCAGCGCTTGTAAGTCATCAGATACGCTTGAAGTCATTTAACTGCCTATACGACTCGCCACGGTACATGAACCCTGACCTATTTACCAGTGCGGAACTAACCAGAATGGCCAAAAAAACTTGCTCAGTTTCCTGAGCGAGCTATTTGTTGCCGAACGGGATGTAACCATTATGAAATCACCTCGGACTGAGTACTACTAAGGGCCCAATGTAGTTCGTTGACTGAAAGTTTCAAAATACATTTTTCATTTATTAATGAGTTCTAAAATAACCTGACCAACAAGTGACTCAAAAATATCAATCTGCATAGTGCAAAGAAGGAAAAACCCATACGCATTGGATTCGGGGTTTTTAGAGAGTCGGAAATTCGAGGCAGGTCAAGGATTTGACATTACTTGAGAAATGGTACTTCTTACTTGTTGAAAAGTGGGACGCGGTCAGGAGAAGATGACAGGTGGTTGCACTATTGTCTAGACAATTAGTTGGATAAGGTAGAACTTCCCAGTCTACTAGAATGAGTTTTCTCAGTCATTTTGCTCGTGAGAGGCCTTGAAACACGCCATTTCGCCTAGCATTATTAAAAGGGTAACGGATTCACCGGCTTCCCCTTTGCGGCCAGTTTTTCTCATGCCGTTGACGGAATATCGAGTCATCGCTTTTGAATGCTCTGCCACTTGACCACGAAGCCTCTGGTGAATGAGAAATGCGAGTTCAAGTCTCACTGAAGTCTGAAGGTTGCCCTTAACTCGGCATTACTGCGGTGTGAGGATTGCTAAAAAGATGGTCCAACGAACGGCATTAGATGTACGGCATATTGATAGAGAGGGCATGGCTGCGTACTTCATTTGCCAGTGGTGGCTGGGCCTTCCGTAGAACATTACCACTTCAAGACAGCTGTAATCATGTCCTTTTCCAGCTGAAGACAACGCGGCTGTTGCCTTGGATGGAAAAGTCCAAAAAAGTCGTCTCGTGCCATGTACAAACAAAGAACGCAGCCACGCTCTCCCCATCTCCGCGATATAGTGTGTACATATACCGTTATCTAATAACACTAAATTGGGGAAGTATCC